ATAAATATATCAATTCATGTGAATATGACTGAAAAATTTCATTTTTTTCTGAAAAAGTGGTGTCTATTTACTTGTGACCACGCTGTGTATAGTGGTAGGTAAGGCTAGTAGTAGAGAAAAATTAGCTACAGTAACACACCATAATGTAGGAAATACTAAGCGCAACAAAGTAAGATAGATTGGGATTCTGTCTTAGGAAATTTGTAATAGAAACATAAGCTACTTTACTAGAAAAGTATAGAGATATATTTGTAGGAAAAATTATCCTAACGGCTATACGAGTAAGGTTAAACATGATATAGTGTTGAATAACAGTAAGCTTATAGAATTAAAAGAATGTGCAAAAGAGATGCTTGAATAAAAAGTAATAGAGGATAGTAGTAGTCATTACACATCCCCAGTTGCAATAGTTTCTAAAAAGGACGGAAAAGTAAGGTTCTCAGATATTTTATGTAAAAAGACTAATAATGACAGAATGTTGCAGATAGTTGTACCATACAGTTTAGAAACTGAACTCATGAAAACTTATCATGATATGCCATTCACAGCACATTTAGCTTTTGCGAAAATGTACCGTAGAATAAGTAAAATATTCTTTTAGCTAAACATGAGAAAGGACATTAAAAATTATTGTTAAAAATGCATAGAATGTTGGAAAAGAAAAACGAGCCCACACTTTAGGAATACTCCTCTCCAGAGAATGCTGAGTTTAACCATGTCTTTTCAATTAATAGCTATGGATATATTAGGTCCATTGCCTACATTCTATGCAGGAAACAAATATGTGTTAGTAATTGCAGACTACTTAACTAGATTTCCTGAGGCAATATGTTTACCCGACCAGAAGGCAGAAACAATTGCCAAAGCGTTCATGAATGACATAGTAGATAGACACGGTATACCCCAGTACATACTGACAGACGGATGTAGTAACTTCATTCTAAATTAATGAAGGAAGTTTGTGAAGAAAATTGAGACAATGCTTATCACCCAGCTGCTAATGGTCTTGTAGTAAGATTTAATAGAACTTTACTAGACATGACCTCTCAATACTGTGAAAAGGATCAGAAAACCTGGGATGAGCAAATTCCTTTACTAGTGTTAGCAAATCGAAGTACTAAAAATTAATCCATTGAGAAAAATTCATTCTTTCTATTACATGGTAGAGATGTCATATTACCTACGAAAGAGATATTAGCTTCTAGAAAAGCGAATTATGGAGTAGATTACGTATATAAAGCAGAATTGTTACAGCAGATGCAGTTAAAATTTGAGTTAGCTAATGAACATTTGAATAAAGTTGCTGAGCATAGAGAGAAACAAGCAAATAAGAAGGCAAAAATTAGCGAAATACGTTTAGGACATAAGATATTGTTATACACTCCCATTGTTAAGAAAGGAAAACTAAAAAGCTGACAAAATTATGGAAAGGGACATTTAGAGTCATAAAGCAAACAAGCCCACTTAATTTGGAGATCTATGGAAAAGGTAAACAGTATAGTGCATGTTACTAGGTTAAAGAAAGTAAAGGACTATAAGCCTTATCAGTACAAACATTTAATTGATGAAATCAAGTCAGCTTATCAAAATGAGAACCTACAAAAAGAAACTGGTAACTCAAGTGAAATTAACATATCTCTTGACGAGGAAGAATGATAGAAGCAGAGACAGAAACCCCAAAGTTAGAGAATGATAGTGTCATAATAGATGACAAAGTTATGATGATGGCAGACATTCCATTTAATGACAGTAGTAATGCAATAGTGCCCCTGTAACTGAGGATGATGTATTAAGTACCCCTGTGATGACACCAGCTTATATAGTGACTCACGACTATAACCAGTTGTTCCAATAGAAAACAAGATAGGTATGATACTGGTTGAAGAAGAAAATTTCATATTATCTGGCGATAAATATAAAAACCATATATTGCTGTTTGAAGTGATCAGCATACTTATTTAGAAATGACAGAGAATATGTTGAGATATATAGAGGGACCCATTCGAGTATGTGACCCCAATTCAGGAATTGATTCAGTACCTATTGTGACATGGAACTATGTAATATTTGCAGGGATTAAAGATAGAATAGTTGAGTTACGTGAAAAGAGAATAATTATTCCTAAATAGAACTTGGCTCTTTAATCTAAGAAACGAACTTACCTTATCAGTAGTATGTCCTAAATCAAACGTGCATCAATTTGTCTATCACACTAGAGTAGTTAAGCTAAGAGATAGCGGATACCTGAGACTAGCTAGAAATTGTTCTGCACATGGCCAGAGAATAACATTGTCTTTCAGTTTTAGTAGTAAAACTAAGTATACAGGAATGCAGTTAAATATAAGAGTACCAGATCTGCAAGAATTATTGACCATGAAAGAATCAAAGTTAATTCAAAGTATAAATGTAGAGTCAGACTTTAAAGAACTGACAAACATATTAGAGGTGTTACGTATTAG